TAAAGATGTAGCCTAAAAAGCAATTTCTGAAGTATGAGGACCCTGGAGATGTAGCTCCATAATACAGTGTTTGCCTCAAGTGTGCAAGACTCTGGGTTCCGTCCCCAGTACAATGAGAAGTAATGAATTTATATGTCAGCCATCCTTGACTATCTACTGTGAGGTTTTCGTGTTTTATATAGATGAATTATTTACTTCCAGCGGTCCTGCCTCCAGGCCAGGAGGGAATGAAGGATGAGTCACTGCAAATATAAGGTTGAGAGTCCCAAACGACAAAAACGTAAGATAAAAATGAAAGACAGCTTTTCCCACTCTTTTCCTCCTCTCTCGCCCAATGGGACTTGAGTTTCTGAAGTCTGAAATGTATCAGAGTAGAGTCAGGGGTATCACGTTCCCTCAACGTGGGAAGTGGACAGCAAGGAACCAACCCCAGGCGTATCCTTGCCCAACTGTTCTCTGGCTTTAAATGGTGGTCCCTGCAGACAGCCAGCAACAGGAAAATGTCACTAAAGATACCCAGACTTCTCTTGAAGCTGTTAAACAGCCCAGGTGAGGACAACCCCAACTTCAGCTACAGACATCCAGACTACCCAGAAAAGACAGGGCTAAGAGTTGGTGGTGACCCAGCCAGTAGCCTTTCCAGTAGAGGAGACCAGGACAAGGGACCTGGCACTCAAGATTGAGAGTTAGTGACTAACTTCACTAGGTGGTACTTTCTACTTGTGCTAAACATCTTCCCAGAGCCAGTGTTAGCAAGAGGGCTTCTTGATATAAAGCCGTGTTTACAGATGTCTTAATGTCATAGGACTTCATGTCAGAAACTGGTGCTGTGTAATCAGACTACCTCTAGTTCTCTGTGTAGCTGAGGGTGACTTTGAACTTCTGATCCTCCTACCTTCACCTCTTGAAGGCTAGGGTTACACATGTATACTGCCATCCAGTTTGTGCAGTACTGGGTCTCAAAATCAGGGCCTTGTACATGTTAGGCAAGTGCTCTGCTAACTGAGCTACATCCCTAGCCCCCACTTCCATTACTGTGTCCTGGCTGAACTCCGGAACTTTCAAGGGCTTCTTTTGAACAAAGGCAATAAGTCATTCAACTACCGTGTATCACATGTGTTCTCCTGCCTGGTGCAGGAAAAACTTAAACTGAATGCAGCCTTAACCAGATCACAGAGCGAACCTAACCACCCTGTGCTTCCCAGAGTGTTCCTGACCACCTCTTGTAGAAATAAGAGCCTCATCCCGACCTGCCGCCGCACAGTCTGCATCCTCAACCAGGCCTGTGGGTAACTCTGCAGAAGGGATCTCTGAGCCTGTGGTTTCTCAAGGGCATTGCCTTCCCTTCATGCGAGGCAGCCCTGTGCATGTGCATGAGATCATTCATGCTGTTTAGTTTTTAATTAAGTTTATTTAGTCAGTTCTGGGAGTAGGGGTGTACCACAGCTTTAAGGAGTTGGCTCCTCTTCCCCCATATGGGTTCCAGGGATCAAACACAGGTCATCAGGCTTGGCAGCAAGCTTAGTCATCTCACCAACCCCAATCGTGCTCTTCAAGGGATGAGTTTTAACAATCATGAAAGCTTTTTGCGTTCCAGTGTTGGGGAAAATAACTCAGGAGTAAGCATCTCATAGTCTTCCATTTTCCAAAGAGAGAGAGACAGGTCTGACCATCCTGGGTCAGGTCAGCAAAGGGTCTCAATTAAATAGGAAAGGGCCCGTTGTGGTGGCGCACACCTTTAATCCCAACACTCAGGAGGCAGAGACAGGCAGATCTCTGAGTTCGAGTCCAGCCTGGTCTACAGAGTGAATTCTAGGACAGCCAAGGCTACACCGAGAAACCCTGTCTCGGAAAACCAGATAAATTAAATAAGTAAATAAAGTAGAGAGGAAAGTGACCACTCAGCCTTCTGTAGAGGAGACAGGAATGAAGCTTTGCTGAGGGAAGCAGGCCTGAGCGGCCGTGGTGCCTGCTCTGCAGGTTCTGCACTGGCATTCCCTGGCTGCTCTCCACACTGCTGCTCTTCCCACTCCGATGGAGGCCGTTCTCAGAACACACCTTACATATGTAGGCTGTGATACTTTTCATATAGGATAGCCCTTCAGAGAACAAACCTTTCTCCTCTTTTTACCACATGCCCAAAGGCTGTGTTCTCCTTCCCTTTTTACTGCCCTACCCTCCCTTCATGTTTTTATCCTGCCTGCCAGTAGGTACCAGAGCTGATAGGCAAACCACAGGCCGGGTCTGCCCTCTGCGGGAAATCCCACTGTCTGTGAGTCTACAGGATGGCTGGTTCTCGTGGCTCATGGTGGGTGTTTCGTCCCAGCGGTAACCTTGGCTTTAGAGAGAGATGCGGACCCATGGCTCACTAAGGGCCTCTGCCCAGACCGGAGCATCCGAGCATCTGCCTTTCTTGGGGGAGCTCTTCGTGTCTGAGCTGGAGCGTCAGAAAATAAGATGTGATGGAAAGAAAAGTAAAAGTGGGGAAAAATTAAAATGGTTGCCATTATAAAAAAAAAAAAACTCTGGGTGCCAAAAATACTTCCAACTTAGATATTTAAGTGTGTGTGTGTGTGTTTTAATTAAAGTCAAAGTCTCCAGGGTGGCAGAAGATGGGGGCAGGAAGGGCATTCCAATCAGATGTGACCAAGATTCTTGTGTGGAGCCTTGGTCTTGGGTTACAAGGGAATTCTGTTTTCTTGAGACTTAAGTCAGAATCTCATGATGGGCGTTCTGTTGCTGTCACACGAGCTTGGACTTGGAGGCTGCTTGAGGCAAGTCTGGGAGACTTGGGGTGCTACTACAGGCTTCCATTTCCTCGTCAGCAAAATGGGGAAGTGGTCCCTTGGGTGATTCCCCTGATGCCTTAGTCTGTTCTATGCTTCACTTTCTTTGGCAGAGGGAATTTTCAGAAAATCTCCAGGTCATTAAATGAATATATACAACGTATATATTCATGTGTATTTCTGTGTCTCCATATAAACCTGAGGTCGTGTATTTGGGGCCAATGCATACAAATCAGCTTATGCCAGTGTCTTCTAATAAGTCATTTTCACATTGCGGTAAACAAGTCCTAGACCCTTCTAACCCCAGATGAGCACATGAAGCTGAGTCGCTTTCTATCCAGAATACTCTTGGGCAAGACATTCTCTCCCTGGGAACCTACAGCATCCTGCTCTCCCTGGGAACCTACAGCATCCTGCTCTCCCTGGGAACCTACAGCATCCTACTCTCACCCTTCACCTCCACTTTTAGTGCATTCGGCTTTTATTTTGATAGCATGTGTTGTAAAAATAATCATGATCCGTATTTTTCAAGGCTCAAGATACAGATATTATGAATACGGAGCTAGGGGTCAAGGACACCAGTCAGTAAAATACTTGCTGTGTAAGCATGGGTTCAAGCCCCAGATCCCACATATAAAAAAAAAAAAAAAAAAAAAAAAAAGCCAGGCACAGTGGTGCATACTTGAACTTGTAATCCCAGCATTGAGGAAGTAAAGATGAGCTTCTTGGCCCTTGCCTGCCAGCCCAGACAACCTAAGCCTCAGGCCAATGAAAGAGCGTGGCTCAAAAAAAGTGGGGGGGGGTCATCCCAAAGTGTGACTCCCAAGGTGGTTTTCTGCCTCATACACAGAGAGAGGTGGGAAAGAGAGGGAAGAACGGTATCTGTAGTGCCTAAAGTTCCAAACAGCCCATTTGCAGGTTTATTGGGACTATCATTTTTCTGTGGTGCCCTCAGGGGTGACACAATCTGACAGGCATGCACAAATTTGAATTCAGAGAGATGTGGGTTCAGATTCTGGTTCCGATTCGTCATGCTGCCACACGACCATAGGCCTACCATCCTCCACCTGGAAGCCGTGCTGTCTTGATTTCTCTTACCCCACTGAGTATCCTGTGGTTGCTATGTAGCTCTCTGGGCCCAGTCACCTCACTAAAACCTAGGCTTTCTCACCATAAAAATGTAAAGTTCGTTTCAGTAAATGGTTGGCCAGATAGTAGATCCCCAGAAATGTCTTGCTGTTACTCAACATTGTGAATATACTTAATGACACTGGATTGTATACATAAGATTATTAGTGGGATAAATTTGACTCTGATTTCAGTATACATACAGAGAGAAGCATTGCTGTATCTGACCATTGTCTTCTAATGCTCAAAGGTATCAATCACATCATCAACAGTTTATAAACCAAGGACAGCCAAACCACACTGACCTAGAGTCGCACAGAATGTTAACCCAATAGACCTCATAAGTCCTCCATTCTGCTACCCCAAAATGTGCTACTCCATCCTACCCAGCCTGGGACCACCATCCTTATACTTGCCTGGTTTCCCCCAGAGTACCTCCCCATCTTCCTGGTTGGTTTTGGCATCAGGGGATGTGGCGGTGGTGTCCAGGGCTCTTCCTGAGGCAGAGCCCTGCTTGGGCATCGAGGTAACTGAACAAGGACAATCTTGAGACAACCTTGTTTGTTCTTTGGCTCCCGTATACAATGTGGCTGACTTATAACTCAGCCACAGAAGTGTCAATCCTGAGTTGCTTTTGTTTTCACCCAAGCAAAATCAGACTTTCTAGAACTAATAACCGACTTCCCTTATTTTCAAAACCATTTTGAGCTTGAGGTTCTGGCCAAGTATGTCACCACTCATTTCTTTTGGCTTGAATAATTGATTACTTTGAGTTGGGTTATTGATATTTCTGGAGCCTTCTGAGTGTCTCACTGTGAATTTTCATGACTGTGATCTGGAGAAGTAGTTTGTCTCAGACTTTCCTGATTTAAAATGTGTATAGAATGTCACTACTAACAGCTTTTGCTTTCTAGTGGAAGGGGAGGGGAGGCAGCAGATGGAGAGGCCTCCCTGCCCTGGGTGTGGCTTGTCAACAAAAAGCAATAGACACCCGAAGAGCCAGGTGATGGAGCAGTAAGTAGTTTGGCAGAAAGAGCCCCCTGTGGCTGCACATCCGCATTTGACTTGGTTTTCTTTCCGTTATAGCAAGCAGACGAGACCCTGGATTTTGAAGAACAGATCTTAGAAGCCGCTAAGTCCATTGCTGCTGCCACAAGTGCCCTGGTCAAATCAGCCTCAGCAGCCCAGAGGGAGCTGGTGGCCCAAGGCAAGGTGGGTAAACCTGGGTGGCCAAGCCATAGGGCATTGTGGAGGGAGAGCCACTGAGTGATAGAGGAGAAATGTTTGGCTTGAAAAGGAGCTGCGTGTTGGGATCCTGTTGCTGGGATACAAGTCTTTTCCCCACCACTGAAAGCTGTGCTTAAATTCCATCAATTGAGTAAAGGCTTTGGCTCCCAGGCTTCTCATCTGCTTCTCATTAGGGAAAACATCCCACCCACTCCAGGCAGAGATCAGGGCCTGAATGAGACACTTACAGTCCCACTGTGCATTAGGCTGTTTAAACTGTCAGCATTTCCTGGTAACAACCTGGTAAGTGCCACAGTCAGGGGCCCTATAATCCCACTTCCCAACTCCAAATGTCTCCACTTGGTTTTAGGACCATCAAATGAATGCTGGTTGGCTTAGCAGTTAGGGCCTTCCTGAGCCTGTGGCTCACACGACCGGTCTAGACTTAAATCTGAGATTCCCTCTATCCGTATCATTGCCGTTAATCCAATCCACACATTTTATGCACAGGCATAAAAATATCACTGCTTTTCAGTATTTAAAATGTGTCATGTGCCCTGTTGTTCCCATACATGGGGTCATCCTATCCAGGCTGGATCTTGCTTAGAGCCTCCCGAATACAGAGGCTCTCCAGAAACCTCTTGAGTTGTAGATCTGAGGATGACTCGGTCACTTGTGCGCATGTTACGAGGCCTTTGTTGCCCATAGTCAAAGAGTTGGGTCGAGTTTTAGAAAACAGAGGAAGAGCTCTGCCTGACCAGTGACTGTTCAGCTTCTACCAGGAAGTTTTGTGCATCTTGCTCTAAAGTACGTACTTGCTCTTCTTCCAAACCATCACGTGGTATGTCATGCAAGATCACTGGATGTACATCTTCCCGCCCAAGGATGCAGGCTGACCCCTGGGCCTCTCAATGAATCTCTATAGGTCCTGCCTGTGCCTGTCTTGCTGTACATTTTCATCAAGTTGTTGTTGACTGGACAACCTATAGAGGCAGATAGATCATTGATGTATTCAGCTTCCTTCAGCCATAGTAAAAGACGACTGATTGCTATATGCTAGACAGATATGCCTGAGAATCTATTTTGAATGTAGTATGTTTCCTGTCCTCCATGGCACTCTGTTTGTTCAGGCATTTAAAAATTGGGAAAGGAAATTCAGCTGATATTGGGGGAGCTATAGAATTATATGGGAGTCTTGGGGATTTGCCTGACACTCAGGAAGTTATCTGTAATTATTGATGGATCTCCAATCTTGTTTTCAAACTGCGGTGCTCATCTCTTATCTCCTGCAGCAATACCCTGGAGATCTGGATAGTAAATCTCTCATTTGCTGCGATTTTTAAAGCAAAAACAGAGATGGGACTCTTTCCCCCAGCCTCTTGTTCTCTCCACTACTGAGGAAATTTCCTTAGAACTAGGGTCTGCCCTCATTTGCATAGAGGGAAATACACCACCCTTTAGCATCTCCTCTGCCAGAATCTCACACCATGGCTTTCCGGGTGCAAGTAGGAGAGATTTAAATTGCTCTTGACCCTTGAAGAAGGAGGCTTTAGTGTGTATAGCAAAAGAAAGGTAACAAAGCAAGTCAGCCTCAACAAGAGCCCCAAACCATCATTGCCTGGAAATGTGCCACCAGCAGCCAAAGGGGAACCATTGGAACATTGTCCTTTGTGCATATAAGGCCAGGCAACACCGGCCAGCAGATGCTGACCCAATGGATCTGTGGCTGGATCCTGTGAGGGGAATGATTGGACCATTCCAAGGTCAGTGCTCTTGGTGAGGGTAACCAGACAGTGCTGTATGTCTGGTTTCAGGGCACAAGAGGGTTTAGGGTGACTGCAGCTTGCCTTGCTCATGGCAGACTTCCCTCCCCTTTCCAACAGGTGGGCTCCATCCCTGCCAACGCTGCTGATGATGGACAGTGGTCACAGGGGCTGATCTCTGCCGTGAGTCACCTTTTCCTTCCTCTTCATTTGTTTTGTGGATTCCCCCAAGGGAGGTTTGGGCCTTGGGTCACCTGTGTGTTGACTGTCCTCAGGCCCGGATGGTGGCAGCAGCAACCAGCAGTCTCTGTGAGGCGGCCAATGCCTCTGTTCAGGGACATGCCAGCGAGGAAAAGCTCATCTCATCTGCCAAGCAGGTTGCGGCTTCGACCGCTCAGCTGCTGGTGGCCTGCAAGGTGAAGGCCGACCAGGATTCAGAGGCCATGAAGCGGCTACAGGTAATGGTCACTGATGCTGGTGGGAAAATACTCCTGTTGGAGCGGGTAAGTGTCACCAGAGGGGACCGTCTCACTTCCTTGGCATGACCCACCAGGCTTTCCATCCGCCAGCTCTGTCTCTCTGCAGCCTCATCCTCTGCCATCTGCATCCGTGTATCCCACAGCCACTGCCCACCGCATCCACACAGCACCGGGGCCTTCTGGGCTGGTGCCTGTGGACCGTCACTCACCTGGGATGGTCTGGCTTCTCACCAGCCCAATCCAGCAAACTCCTGCTAGTCTTCAGTGACTGAATTCAAAGTCACCTCTTTTGGGAAACTCTTTTTGACTCTCTCCTCTGTCCTGCCAGAGCCCCTGGCCTGGCCACTCTTATGGTCCCTATCCCATGGCACCTCTGCCTGTATTTTTCTGTGTCCCAGCTGTATCTCAGGTACCTCACCTTCATGGCACCTGACTCAGAGGAGGCCCTCGGGTAGTGTTTGCTCAAGCAGAGAGAGAATGCCCAGAGGGGATTTCAGAAAGTTGCGAAGGTTTCCTTCCCGAAATCTAGAAAGTATGTTTATAACAATCAAGTTCTTCAACATACATACACATTGTTCTGATTGTTTAACATTGTTTGAGGGCTGTAAAGATGGCTCAGTGGGTAAAGGTGTTTGCTCCCAAACCTGATGACCTGAGTTTAACCCCAGAATCTACATAGGGGCAGGTGAGAACTGACTCCCACAAGTTCTCTTCAGATATCCACACGGCATGTGTGCTCACACGCACGCACACACACACACACACACACACACATTATGTATATATACATATATATATATTAAAATAAAAACTGTTTTAAACACAATGAAGGGAACATTTGAATGAGAAACAAAATTGCATTGCCTCAGTGCCCTCATACAAAAATGTTTGTTTTCCGTTCCTCTTGTCGTCTACATGAGATGATTGTGTCTGCTTGTGGTCATAGCAAGATGCATCTGCTTCTCTGTTGCATACATATTGTCATACACATTCTTCCTCGAGGTGGAGACTCCATTCTTCATGGGTCTCATTTTTCAGTGATTGCATGGTTTTGCATCAGCTGATTACGCCAGTTTCCCCCATGCTTCCGACATTGTATTTGTTTCCAGCTTTCTAGAGTTTTACTGTGATAAGTGTTATTATATAGATGGTTGATAATTGCTTCCAGGATCTGATATATACATCATGAATGAAACCATAAAGGGCAGAAAGTCCAGATGCTTCTTACAGACTCAGAAATCTCTTACGATTTTTAAAATCCTTTTTCCTCTCTTGGATGTGAGACTTTTAAGTACAGGAGATGCTCTAAGGAAACCACTTAAGTTAGAGGCTGGGGTTTGAGGGTTAGGGATATGGCTGTCCAGCAGAGTGCTTGCCTAGCATGAATTCAGCCTTGGGTTCAGTCCCTCGTACCACATAAAACAGGGTTGGTGGTGTGAGCCTGTGAAAGCAGACCTGGGGAGCTGGAAGCTGAAAGATCAGGAGTTCAAAGTCATGGCTGTCCCTTAGAGCTAGACTCTTGACTCTGAGAGAGGTGGGCAAGGAACGTAGGAGATTTAGTGACTCTTTGAACACCACTAAAAGATAATTCTAGACCGCAGCTGGCAGAAGACAGTTCCCTAGGGCCCTGCTCCCTGAAGGTTAAGATAAACTAGGGGGCTGAGGAGATGGCTCTGTGGGTAAGGTGCTTGCGTGTACAGGCATGAGGATTTGAATTTCATTCCAACCCCTACATAAAAGCCAGACACAGTGGCTTGGGCCTGTAATCCTAGTGTAAAGAAGGCAGAAACCGGCAGATTTCTGGGCTCACTGGCCAGCCAACTTTTGACCTCTATGTGCATGCACGCGTGTGTACTCAAACACACAGAAGAGTAAACTAGAATGGACAGAAGTCTGTAATAAAAAGATGGAGACTTCTGTTGACAGACTTACCTAGATCTGTCTCCAGCAGTCACTTCATCCTTGTTCATAAAGCACAAACCTAGCTGTGACTTCAAGTCTATCCATAAAGTCCGCTACTCACAAGACTTAGCCCCCCTGCAAGAGCGGATGCTCCAGGCTTGTACATGCATAGCCCCCCACTCCCTCTGGAAACCTTCAGTGAATCCCAACTCGGAGCAGCCTCTGTAGCAGGTTCCGAGGGCACAAAGAGTTTAATTATTAATAATTGCCCCTGTCCTAAAGTTGCTACTGCCCAGAATAGAGTTGTCCCAAGGATGGTAAGGATGGTAACAAAGGTATCAGAGAACGCCCAAGGACCTCAATAAGGGAACGTGAGCATTGCCATGACCTACAGGAAAGCATGAAATCTGGGCCAAGACTTCAAATACATGTGAAGTTAGGGCCACGGAGCAGCTGTTTTTCAGACTAAGGGGGCAGCCCCTGCATGGACTTCTATCACAAGCATAAGCTGCTAGTTGTGTCTCATCATTCCCCTCCAGAGCATGTGCTCAGGCAGGGAAAAGCACTCTCTTTGTAAGGATGAGGCCCTGAACTTGATCCCCACAACCCATGTAAGAAAGCTGAGCATAGCAGCGTCTGTTTGTAATTCCAGGGCTGGAAAGGCAGAAACAAAAGCATCCCCAGGGCTCACCAACAAGCCAGTCTAACCTAATTGGTGAGCTTCCGACCACTGAGGGGCCCTGTCTCGAAGGAAGTAGGTGGCATTCCTGAGGTTGTTCTCTGGTTTCCATATCTACACACATGCACCCATATAAACACACACACATAAATGCATTTTTTAAAAAAAAGCTTATGTGGTCAGTGCTGGAGGAGTTGATGTGTAGACAGATGATGGGTACTCGCTGGCTCCAGGAAACTTCTGTGTTATGACTTCGTCTCGTGAACTTCATGTCTGTTCTTGCCAGGCCCGTGTGGCGTTGCTAATGATGTCCCGTGTGTCTTGTTCCCTCTCTAGGCAGCGGGAAACGCTGTGAAAAGAGCCTCAGACAATCTTGTCCGTGCAGCCCAGAAGGCAGCTTTCGGCAAAGCTGACGATGATGATGTTGTCGTGAAAACAAAGTTTGTGGGAGGCATTGCTCAGGTGAGAGGCTAACCCCACAGTAATGTGCAGCTGCCAGACAGCTGGCTAAACGGTGCCTTACACAGGCTGCAAGGTCCTTTCTTCTTATGAAGCCATTTAGGAAAGGCATGATGTTTCTGCCATGTTTGAGACCCAGACTGCACCTTACCCTCCCTCTCTAGATGTTGCCCCTGGCAACTGGGTCCAAGGTGGCTTAATTACCAACCTCAGTGTCCCATGAGAGCAAGCACTGGAACTTACAAACCTCACTTCCTCTCCCATACTGTTGGTCAGCACTTAGTCACGCGGGAGGATGGGACATGTAGGGTTCTTTTCCTGGTAGCCATGCACCTAGCTACAATCAAGCTTTTCTGTCACAGAGAAAGAAAGGAACAGACTAGCCTAGAATAGAGCAGGATGTCTTTGGAACTGCCGTCCTGGCCGTCCTCCACTGGACCAGTTAGCTAGTACTCCTCAGTTTCGACCTTAGAAGCATGAAGTGCGTGCATTCTGTCCTCTGTATCTATCCACAACTTTCGCATCCTGGGATTCAACCAATAGCGGCTTGAAGATACTCAGGGAAAACTGCAGCTGTACGGAACGTAGACAGGCTGTTTTTTCCAGTCATTCTTTAAACAATAAATACAGTTTGGCTATATGTGTGCGGTGTTCGCATTACGTTCAGTCCTATAAATCACCTGGAGATTATTTAAAATATGCAGGAGGAAGCTAAGGAGATGGCTTAGTGGGTAAAGTGCTCGCCATTCATGCATGAAGATATGTGTTTGATCTCCAAATCCTATGTTTTTAAAAAGAATAGATGTGGTGTGCACGTATGTAATACCAATGCTGAGGAGAAAGAGACAGGCAGTCTAGTTCCAGGTAAAACTGAGAGACACTGTCTCCAGCATCAAGGTGGATGGCTCCCTGAGGAACAGCAGTCAAAGTTGACCTCTGGCCTCCACATACACACACACTGATGCACTGCCATGGCCCACCCCTCTCAGCCTCAGACCCCTCATTGTACATACGGGACTTTCACAGGCTTGACATAAGGGGATGCTATAGACAAGTATAGGCATCAGGCCTGGTATGGATACAGGAGATGTTTGCTGCTGAGTCCCTACCTGCCCAGAAGTCAGCTTGTTTTTTTCTGATCAACTGAGTCTCAGAACCCAGCCATGGTGTAGACAGCTTAGCTCAGAGCTAAGAATGCTGCTCCTGGCCAGTATCGTGGCTCAGCAAGTAAAGATGCTTGTAGGGTAAAGCGCTTGCCACCAGACCTGGAGGCCTGAGTTCAATCCCCAGGACCCACGTGCTGCACGTAGAGAGCTGATGTCTTCACGTTGTCCTCTGACCTCTACATGTGAGCTGTGGTTGTGTGTTATGGCACCTGCACACACACGCTACACACACAAAATAAATAAATAGTTTCTTTTAAGAAGAATGTTCTTCTGTATCCATCATTGGAGGGCCCGGGGAAGACAGAGGCCTCCAGTAAAGCCCATCTTACTGTTTCCCTCCAGATCATCGCAGCCCAGGAAGAAATGCTAAAGAAAGAGCGAGAGCTGGAGGAAGCCCGGAAGAAGCTGGCCCAGATCCGCCAGCAGCAGTATAAATTCCTACCCACCGAGCTGAGGGAGGATGAGGGCTAGTGCCTGCCCACGATGGCGAGCCCCAGGAGGTGGTGCCACCCCCGCCCCCCAACAAGAACTGGACAGAGCAGCGCTCCCAAGAGCCGGGCACTTCCTGGAAATGCCTGGCCCTCTACCTGGAGTCTCTTTCTCACTCCTCGGTCCTGTTACCACCGACTGCATGATCATGACCTCACGGTACAGTGTCCCACCACAGCCCCTCCAGCTCCCCTCGTGCCTCGCTTTATCTCAGGAGAGAGGGGCACGCATTTCATGGACTGTTACCAAAAAGAGAGAAGTCAGTATTATGTTGTTCTCAGACACCTTAGTCTTTGTCCTCCAAGGCTGCTCCAGGGCCTCTGTGACATCGCCACACTAGGAAAAGAACAACAGTGATGGCCCACAGGACTCGTCAGTATCGCGGACACAGATATTCTCTCACTAGAGAGAAGACAGAAGCTGGAGTCGGACACTGTTAGGAAAGCCAGAAACGCTCCCAGGTGGACTCTGGGTCTGGCGTCACAGAGGTCCTTGTAAGTTTGGAGCACTGATTTGCCCACGGGGGTGAAGAACCCCTGCCCCGTTTGCACGCTTTTCTTGCCTCAGTGTGTAAGCTACTTGTACAATCTACACCCATCTTGTATTCATGTGACCCCAGAAAAAATGGAAGTTATTTTATTTTTTTTCTCTCTCCGTAACCCAAAGGGCAGAGTTGTGGAAAGTGGTCAGGGTTTAGGTGGGCAGGGGCCCAAATAAAATCCTGGGCTCCTTACTCTGCAAGACTGTTTTGGTTCATGCAAATGAACACACACAAACTGTGTCCCTGATGGGTCTCAGCGCAGCGCCCCCTGGAGGAAAAATCAAGAGGGATTTAGTTGGGAATGAGGAGCCTCCCACCTTCAAGTCCCATTATCAGCTCCTGTGCTCTTAGGAGGGTCCAAGTTCAAGGTGGAAGGCTGTCTGTTTAGAACTTTCTCTGCTCTTCCATCCCAAAGAGGGTATTCCCCGCCCCCCTTCATCTTACTACAGCATAGATCCCTGAGTTTACATTTGATCTGAGCCCCTGCCTAAGATGAGGGGTGAAGGATAAATGGCCGATGGCCAAGGGTCTAATACCAAGCAAGCCCCGGCAGATTTCCATGAATTCATGAAGGGAAAACCAGAGTTAGTAGGGCCATGCTGGGACTGTAGCTTGGCTGGTAGTGTTGGCCTGGCTAGCTGGCACAAAGCGGGTTCCATTGCTGGCATCACCTAAACTCGGTGTGATGGCACATGTCTACAACCCCAGCACTGGGGAGATGAAGGCAGGAGAATCAGAAGTTCAAGATTATCCTTAGCTACACAGTAAGTTAGAGACCACCTTGGCCACGTGAGACCCTGTCTCCCAAAGGGGCAAAAAAGGTAATAGCGGCATATTGTTTTCAAGACTGATGGCTGCTGAAGGCAGGCGCTCCCGTCCCTTAATGATCTGATGCCAGTACCATGGTGTGTGTTACACTCAGCACCTAGATCCAGATTTCTACCAAAGAAGAAATATTGGTAGTCTGGTGGGGAAAAAAAACAGTTGTCCTTCAACCTGGCCAGGAGAGTCTTCTCCAGCGGTTTACCCCTGTGCCACAGTTTTAAAATATAATTAAATTCAGAAGCTTCCCAGATTATAGGGACTTATGAGTGCCCCCCATGGGAATTCTTTTCAGACAGGTAGAAGGATATACAGAGTGGGGTGTGGGTGGAGAGCTGATGGTGAGCGCATATGGAGGGAAAGAGGGTGTGCAGGCTTCAGATCCAGTAGAGGAGGATGCTGGGGAGCCCTGGGTGCTCATGGGAAAGCAGATGGTCTTGCTCACCGTCTTTCAGTGGAACTCTTCATGTCTCTGCTGGGGGCTTTCCAAAGCTATTAAGTCAGACCCAAAAGTTCACGATCAGGATGTGATAATGACCTCATGCAGCAGGACAGGAGGCCCTCCTGCAGCCAGCTCACCCTCCTTCCTGTAGGGTATGCTTCTAGGCAGAGTTCTCTGTCCTTGCCCGGGGGTTGTTAAAAACCTTCACAGAAGTGAATACTGGAGGAAAATCTATAACAAATGAAAAGCAGAGGGCTGCCCTTTCTGGCTGTGAGGAGTGTTTCAGGAGAACAGGAGTCTGCCCTCCTGTCTGGACCGGTGTGCCTCTAGGAACTTGGCGGGGAGGTGGTTCCTAGGCATCACCTGCCGTGGTCCTGTCTCACCTGTCCCTTGCTTGCCCATGCGGCGTCCATGTTTGTGAAAGTCCTTGTGGCTGGCTGGGTCTCTCCTCATTTCATAAAATGGACGAAATACTGGACTATGGCCATTACTTGATAAATGCTGCTGGTGGTGTCCTCAGGCACCGAGGGGACTTCTGGCTCCTAAGGCAGAAAGAATACAGATGCAGTGAGTTGCATTTTGGAGTAGTTTCAAAGAAAAGTGGCCCAAGGCCCGGAGCGTAAACCATATCCCTCTGTGAGGGAAAGGGGCTAGGTATGCAGATGAGTGCTCTCCCACCTCTATCCGCAGAGAGAAGCTGCTGTTGGGTTTAGAATTCTTAGGCTGATCTATCTGTCCAAAATTTCCATTTTTGATGATCAAAAGAGGGATGTGTCCAGTGACTGGGGAATTCCATCTAGCTTGCTTCTTTGGATCGGGATGCAAAAGACATGTTTGTTCAGACAGCCCTGGGTAGCACTTCCACTGGCCAGTTGGGGGTAGTCTTAGAAGTCATTATAAACAGATACTTAAGACCTAGCCAGTCTGCCAGTTGTTGCTGTGGTTTTCAGAGGCAGCTGCCCAGGCTCCCATCTGTGCACAGCCTTTCATAGCTAAGACACTGCCAGATCTGCTGGCGTATATGCTTAATCCAGAAAAGCCCCCAAGCTGCTCACCAGAGTCATCTGCTTGTCTTCTGCATACTCTACCAGCTGGGGAGAGTGCAGGCAACCGCAGCCAACCCCTCATTTGTTGAAAACCAGGTGTGGTGGCATACATTTGTAATCCCAACACTTGGAAGGTGGAGACAGGAGGATCACAAGTTTAAGGCCAGCCTGGGCTGGGTAGCAAGCTCCTGTCTCAGAAAACCAAAGGCTGGTGGGTGTAACTTAGGGTTAGAATGGTTGGCTAGTGAGCGCAAGGCCCTGGGTTCATTCCCGACAGCACACATGCAAAGTATAGCCAAAATATACCACTACCTAAAAGGATGTATCTCTCCCCAACACCACCTAAGTGACTCCAGAACCAAAACCTCATGAAGGAACCAGGGTGGAGGTGGTAAAACCAGCTCTCAGCTCCCCTTCTTTCCTCTCTGGCAAGTGGTCCCCCAAATCTCCCTGAGCTCCGCAATTGCAGGCTGTGGCAGCACCTCTAGGATGTTTGGATTAAGATCCTAGCACAGATTGCCCATGGGCTCTGCTCTGACCCCTAGAGGAAATAAGCACTCTGCGACCCAGGGGCCAGATGCTTCTAAGAGATTTAGCAAATGCAAGGAATCCAAAGGAAAAGTTCACTTTCAGGCTGAGAGGCAATGGTCCCCAGAGTCCTGAAAGCCAGAGGTCTTGGTGGCACAGGTCTTACCTCTCCACCGAGTCCCTCCCAGAGGGTCATCTGCTAGGGAAGGCACCCTCTGCAAACCCCCAACACCACTGCTCCACTGCTCTGAGTTTGTGCCTGGTGTGTTGAGGTTATGGTCATTGGGAATGAGCGTGAAGACGGACCTTCTGTTCGTCTGCAAATACCGTGAAGAGCTGATACTTTTCTGTGAAGTGGGCTAGCTTTTATCTGGTCTCCCTGGAACCCAGCTCCCAGCCTAACAGGAAGCAACAACATGCAAACCCCTCTACAGCCGTGCCCACTAGAAGACAAGAAAGAGAAGCTCTGCCCTTGTCATAATGTTTAATCACATAAATTAATTTATCTAATCACATAAATTATTTTTTTTATTCATCAGAAATAAACTTTTAAAGCAATGAACTTGTGTGAAAGTTTAATGGCAATGGGAGGGAGACAAAAAAGAGGGAAGAGAGTGTCTTCGTCTTGGGGAAGATATTCTTCTTTAAGCCAACCATCTCCATAGTAACCAAAGATGTGGAGGGGGAAGGTGTATGAGAGTGAGGGATAAGACCAGTAGTCAACCAGAAGGCTTGTCACCCAGTTCTTTTCCGCTTTGCTGACACCAGAAGCTAGCTTGAATAGGAAGGCGTTGTTTCTTCTTCACTTTGAAAGAACTAGGCTTCCTGAACAAGTAGTTTGGCCTTTTGCATGTCACTGGAAGACAGAACACCTAAATCCCGAAGGGTACGTATGGGACACTTGGCCTGGAGACCACCACAGGAAGATTGGGTTCATTTGTGACAGCTGAGGCCAGAAATGTCACCTCCAGCCTTCCTTCCTGTTTGAGGGGGTGGATCCTTGGCCAGGACTCCTTGTTGTCGGGACAGCCAGATTTAGAAAAGTATGAAGCATTCCTAATCTGCAAGATGGGGTTGTCCAAGAATTGCCATAGCAACCAAAAGTGACATTGGGATGGCCATCAACTATTAAGAGGACTCTTAAAGTCACGCTCACTAAGCCAATTCATAAGAAAGGCTTCATATCTCTGACTTAATAAGAATGACAAAGGGGTTAGTTAGGGCTGACCACCGCACAAACAGAAGTGAGGAGTCTGAGGCAGACCAGGAGATGCGGTGGGAGTCTCCTGAGTGTCAGCCCTGTGCTACCAGACATACCTCAGGGCTCAGCCGTCCAGGAGAGGCCGGTGTATGGCCATTCTTCAAAGGGACATCCCGAGACTCAGGCAGACAGGAGGTATCTGGGTTAGGTTGGCTGCTGCCTATCAAAACTCACATCCTCTGTGCAGAAAATGAACTCCAGTCAAAAAGCCAACACGGACCACACCTGCGAACCCCAGCACCTACTGTGCCCAGACATTGGAGCCCAACTCACAGTCCCAGAGATGACCACAATTCAGAGAATACAAATACCTGACTCAGAGAAATGGAAATGATAGGGTACTGCTTTGAAGGTAGGAAAGAGGCTTCCCAAAGGAGGCCACAATGTAGGGACCATGAAAGTAACCCTTGACCCAGAACTTTGGGGAAACAGGTTCTTGCCCTGAAGGGAAAGGCTTCCTGGAGGATGGCATTTGCCTGGTTTCTATGCACTGTTTCACAGGCGTGGTGAAGGGGTGATGCCTCAAGCGGTAGGGTCGTAAGGGTGACATCCTGCGTTTAATGAGACAGTGACTTAGAGGAACAAGGAACAATTCAGTGAGTCCAGAGCTTAGAGAGGTACAGAGAGGAGGGTCCCAGATCTCTCCAAGGAGGGGATGCAATGGGGAGAGGGAACTACCACCAGCGAGGACAGGGAGCAGATGTTAGGGAGTTCACACTCTATTACCCCCGTTTATTCCTCATAGCAAGACACAGGTAGTCTATCCCCATTTGGTAGCTCTAAGGCCAAAGCACAGAAGAGCTGGGTAACTATCGCAAGTTTACAAAGCTAATAGAGCTGGGATTTCCCAGCTACTCTGCTAAGGTCACCCACTAATAAAGGACAAAGTTCCAAGTTGGTTTTTCCAAATTCATGGTTTGTTTGTTTGTTTGAAGGCCTTTTAAATTCTTAATTCTTTGATAATTTCCTACAGCATGTATTTTTTAAGATTTATTTATGTTTTTATTTCTATGTATGTAAGTGTTTTGCCTGTGGGTGTGTATGTGTGCCACATTCATACCTGGTACCTGCAGAGGTCAGAAGATGCCACTGGATCCCAAGGAACTGAAGTTATAGATTGTTTGATATTGGGAACCAAACCTCAGTCCTCTGGAAGAGCAGCCAGTGCTCTTAGCCTCTCCTCAGTCCTTTTATGGTTCCCATACTCCAACTCCCCTAAGATCCTCTCCCATTCCTACCTACCTACCTTCATGTTCTTTTTTTTTCTCTTAATAAGAAAAGACTCTAAAAATGCAGAACTTGATTCGTGTTGAACAACCGCTCCTGAGCATGGGGCCTGCCCTGGAGTGTGGGGGATATACCCAGTTACTCCACTGAAGAAAATTATTTCCTCCCAGCTCCTGTTTTGTGAATAGCTTCTTGGCTATGGTTGGGACTTTGTGCTCACTTCTCCTCTGTCCTGCTGGCATTTTGTCTGCCTCGAGCTTGTATAGATCTTGCGTGTGTTGGTATAGCCTCTATGAGGTCATATGTGCGTGTGTGCTGGTATAGTCTCTGTGAGGTCATATGTATGTGTGTTGGTATAGTCTCTGTGAGGTCATATGTGCGCGTGTTGGTATAGTCTCTGTGAGGTCATTTGTGCGTGTGTTGGTATAGTCTCTGTGAGGTAATATGTGTGTCTGCCCTTGCTTTGTCCGGATCATCATCCACCACATCTAGTTCTTTACAATCATCCCACCCCTCTTCTTCACAGGTCCCCGAGCCTCGAGAGGCAGGATGTGATAGACATCTCATTCAGGGCTGAGCACTCCAAAGCATCCACACACTGTCCAGTTATGGGTCTCTGTGTTTATTACCATCTACTGCAAAAAGACGATTCTCCAGTGAGAATTAATAGCAGCATGGCATTAGGAGTTCTTTTATTGTTATCTTCGTTTTGTAGAATAATAAGAGTAGGTTTTCCCATGGGCCCATGATCCTGGTCTCATCAGTACTATCAGGCATGAGTTCCATCTCAGGGAGTGGGCCTTAAATCCAATCACACAGTGGTTGGTCGCTCCCCTAACGCTCGTACCACTCTTGCACCTGTAGGCTATCTCCCAGGCAGGTCAGTGCTGTAGCTCATAGGGTTCGTCACTGGATGAGATGGATGGTTGCTTCTCTCCAGTGGTGTGTACAGCACCTCTAGCTCCATGAATGCCAGCCAATAGGGGAAAAGCTTCCAAATGAGTGCCCACTAGGTTTCTCCATGTTCTGTGCCATAAGGATGTGGTGTCTTCAGCAGTAGGTCTCACTGTCAAGTTGTAGACGGTAACCACAGCATTGGCAATAGCCTGTAGTGTTTAGGGTGTGTGTCTATGGGACCCCTTGGACCAACAAAACAAAAAGATGTAACCTACTCCTGGTATTAGGGGTTTTATTTGGTAGCATCGGATGTCAAATTTGGGTACTGTCTATCCCCATTATATGGTAACTCCATTTAAATTCCTTTGAATGTGCATATTTTTCAGGAAGCCTCTACAGTAGTAGGTTTCCATATCAGACTTAAAAAAACATTTGTGTGTGCATGTGTGCATGCACACCATGTATATGAATGCCACATGCATGTGTGGAGATCAGTGGACAAACTCGGATGTTAGTCCTTGCCTTTCACCTTGTTTGAGACTAGGTCTCTTGCTCTCTGCTGCAAACACCAGGCTAGCAGGGCGTCTAAAGTGAAGATCCGCTATGAAGTCCCGCCCTGCAGGACAGAAATCATGCAGACAGACATTGGGAGAAGGACTGAGGAGGGGACCATACATACATATGGCAGAGCCTGGGTCATGCTAGAGACTCCTGAGCAATGAGGGATGCTGGGGCGGGGAGGAAGGGGAGACCACAGGAACAGAGGACCATTCCATTCCGTGTATGTTTGCGGCACGGAAGGGGCATCCAGAGGTCACTGACTAAGCACCTTCCTCTGCTGCTCAGCTGCTGATGGAGTCCCACTGGGTGTGTCCACAGTCCTACTTCAGTGTTCTTTTTTCAGACCATAGCTTTTTTAAAAGTTTTATATTTGCTGGGTGGTGGTGGCACACACCTTTAATCCCAGCACTTAGGAGGCAGGTGGATCTCTGAGTTCGAAGCTAGTCTGGTCTACAAAGCAAACTCCAGGACAGCCAGGACTGTTACACAGAGAAACCCTACCTCAAACAAACAAAAAACAACAAAAAAACAAACTAAAAGTTGTATGTTTGTTTGCATGTGTGTGCATCTTTGTGAGTTTAGATGCACTGCAGAGGCCAGAGGGCATTGGGTTCCCCAGGACTATAGTTACAGGTAGTTGGAAATTGTGGGCTGCCTTCCATGGGTGCTAGGATCCATATTCCTCTGGAATACCGGTGTGCCATGGTAACTGTGACTGAGAGACATTGACCTGGAGGTTTTCATTTGAAAATCCTTCACCCTGAACACGACAGAATTGCTTGCCCTGAGTCCCCCCAGAATAAGAAAGCCTCCGGCCTTGTGCCCAGGGATAGAGGGGAGCTGAAAACAGGATGGCCTATCCAGGGACAGTACCTAAGAAGATCAATACAAGGCCCAAACCCTTGGGATCATATTCAGAATTCCTTGTCCGTTTCAGCTTCAGGAACTCTACAGCTTGGAAAAAGAAATCTGATTCTCTTCAGCTGAGATCTCTGTGTTGCAGGACTGCTTCTGATTTCATTGAAAGGCTGACTGTGTTCCACAGGTGTTTGGAGTTTGAGGGACTCAGGGTATAAAGAGACCTGCATTCCCAGGGTTCTAACATTGGGACTGACAGAGAAGCAGGAAGGGAAAAGCCTGACTGATGTCTCCTCAGCTCCCAGGCTCCATAGAAAACATTCCTTCCTTCCAAAGACCTTAGGCTCTGGAGAAGTCAGTCTCTCTTCCACTGTGGACCAAAGCTAGAAGGACCCAGAGCTTCAGGGATGGACTGGCGCTCAGGCTGAGCAGGGCAGGGGCTAGAGCTGACCTTCAAAGGCAGCCAGGGAAGCAATTAGCAGATAGTGGCGGCGAAGGATGTTTAAGGCTGCAGGGGTGGGGTGGGGAGGTGAGGAGGAGATCATGAAAGGCTAAAACTGTAAAGTTTCAAAACAGAGATCACCTGCCAGCCCTACAACTTAGAATTCAGAGCCTTATCCCAAAGGGAAGAAGAGAGACACAGTGAGCCCCACACCACTGCCACTCAGCCTCAAGGCCATGGTCTTCAGACCTGCAGATCTGATACGTCAGGAACATGACAGCCATGTGGACTGTGCCCTAGAAGGGAGCCA